GGGAAAGAGCTTCGAGTCCTTTACCCCACTTCAAACAGAGCAGATTAACTTTTCAGTTTTATGCAGTGGGTTCCTCGTAAGATTTCATTTGAACAAAAGAGGCTGCTACTACAAAGAACTTGAAAATTGCAGGCCTGATTGAATGTTAAAGTTCCTTCTAGTTTATGATGCCTCTTATACACATGAAAAAACCTTGGGGATCCCTATTAGACTAGAATCAAAATACCTTCCTGCTCAATCATTCATTCATTCATTCATCAAATAGTTTAAAGAACATTGAGTACCCCCTATTGCCAAACAAATATCGTTTGGTTGCCCTGGACCTTGGTGCCTCAGTTTCTCCCCATGCCCCCTCTCTGCCAAGGCTGGGGTGGTAACAGGGCTGCTACATAATGGGACAGTCCTGGGTATTGCTTCCCTATCACAGGAGCCAGACGCTGCCTGGCATCGCCAAGGCCTCCACTTGGCTGACAAAGCCCTGGGTTCCCTGTGCTGGCATCCCTCCCTGCCTGGCTGGACACCGTCCACCCCCGTTGCTGCCATACCAAGAGGAAGCTGTTTTGCCAAAGCAGGACACTTAAGCCAAGTGGCTACTGTTACATCAGTCAGCCTTCCCACCCAGCACCCAGCCTAGAGCCCCGTACACACACTCCCACACATTTCATGCTTACATTTGCCAGGTCACAGGGACAACACAGGGGGAGGCAGGGTGGGCTAGGCCCAGTGTAAGGTTGCTCAGCACCAGTGCCAACATGGAACACAGAGGTGTCAGGTGAGGGCTGCATACCTGCAGGGACAAAGGACAGGTGCCAGGAGTCCTGGGGGTGCCTGCACTTTGGGTTCTAGGGGATAGCAGAGTGACCTGAGCCTACTGGTCTGCCATCTGGGGAACCTGCCCAGCCCCCTCTAAAGATGGTGCCTCATCCTGGACCAGCCCTGGGGCCTCCAGGCATTCTCAAATGCACAGCATCTGTGGTCTTGGGCTGACTGAAAACCTGCTCCACTTTAAGAAGACCCAGGGCTTCCCTGGTGGCGCAGTGGTTGAGAATTCACCGGCCAATGCAGGGAACTCGGGTTTGAGCCTTGGTCCGGGAAGACCCCACATGCCGCAGAGCAGCTAAGCCCGTGTGCCACAACTACTGAGCCTGCGCTCTAGAGCCCGCAAGCCGCAACTACTGAGCCCACGTGCCACAACTACTGAAGCCCGTGCGCCTAAAGCCCATGCTCTGCAACAAGAGAAGCCACCGCAATGAGAAGCCCGCACACCGCAACAAAGAGTAGCCACGGCTTGCTGCAACTAGAGAAAGCTCGTGTGCAGCAATGAAGACCCAAAGCAGCCATAAATTAATGAATTAATGAATTAATTTAAAAAAAGAAGACCCAGTAGAAGGAAATCCACTCTACAGAGGATTGTTGCTTTATCAGTGGGTCAACTTCAGTCTTTCTTTAATAAACATGACACTTTAATGGTGGGAAGAGTTGGGAGATTGGGATTGACATGTATACATTTATATGTATAAAATAGATAACCAATAAGAACCTGCTGTATAAAACAATAAATAAAATTAAATTTAAAAAAAAACAGAAAAATAAAAACATGACACTTTAAGCATTAAGCATGTGACGCCTTTTGAAAAACACAAAGTATGCACTATTCTTCAGGAACAAATGCCTATATCGTGTGGCACACCTGTAATCCCACTCTACATGATTCCAGAGACTTTCATGGAACCAGAAAGGGGCCTCAGGGGGCAATCTGCCCAACCCTCTCCTTTTGTAGGCGGGGAAACGGAGGCACTGAGCACAGAAGATATTTGTCCAAATTTAGAGGAGCTAGGACTAGACCCTAGATAATGATGATGATGATGATGACGATGACAATAAATCTTAACTCTATGAATACATGTATATCTATCTATACC